TTGGAATTAAAATTCAAGAGTCTTATAAAGTGAAAAATTGATTATTTCAATCTATACCAAACAGATGATATTAAGTTTCTTAATCAAGGTCTCCTAGACTAGATAGATCTGAATATTATAAGTTTACCAACAAGAAATAGAACTGAAAGATAAAGGAGGGATAAAGAGGAAATGCATAGAATTCAGATAATACTAGAGAATTCTGTTAATATTTACATGAAACTTTATCTTAACTAAATTACGATAATCAGTTGATAAAAAATAAAAGAAATAAAAGAAATAAAAGAAGAAGAAGAAAGAAAGAAAGAAAGAAAGAAAGAAGAGAATATGTCATAAAGTTAGGGAAGAGGATGAAGTCAGGGAAGAAGAGCTGGGAAGAAGAATATGCAAATTATAATTAAAAAAAAAAAAGGAAAAAAAAAAAGGAAAAGAAAAAAAGAAAAGAAGAAACAAGAAAGGACTTTCCTGTAAATGGCAGATGAATTTATGAAGCTAGGAATCAGGAAGATGATGAAGTCAAAAGACAATGGAATTATAAAGAAAATTAGGGGAAGAGATAATCAGTAGGCACCAAGCTTCCTGTTTCTGCCTTAATTGGAGTCAAAATTCCAATTTAAACCCTTGATGCTTCTATACTTTTTGTCATTTTGTGTCATTTTAAAGAAGCGATCACTTCAACATCAAAGCACTTTTATCGCTTCACTTCACTTCAGTCGCTTTGGGACTGCTTCTTTTAAGTAGAGCGCTTCAGAAATTTTGAAGTGGCGATGCCTCTAATCGCTTTGCTTCATCGCTTTAAGCGATGAAGTGATCGCTTTTGACAACACTGGGTCAAACTATAACATTTATGTCACATGATGCAAACAAAATACCAGATTTGCTTATAATCTTGATTGTTTAAGCTGCTCAAGTAGAACCTGCTCTTGCAAGAGTAAAGCAATTGAATGGGGATCAGAGCACTCCAACTTCTGTTTGGAAGAAAAATTGACTAAAGACATACTAAATAATTGGAATACAACTTTGCCAATCTTAGCTGAATTTTCACTATATAAAAATTTTGTCCATAAGAAATCTGCAACTAACTAAAAACCATCATTTTAAAGGGAGGAGAAAGTGCATGATCATATGTAGATTTTTGCTTTGTACCTTTTCCTCCTTAACCAATATTATCCATTCATTTAACTGATTCTGCAGTTGTGCAATTCTTTATCGCTCAGATTGTCCAGCTCCTTGACATTCAATTGTCCACAAATTGGAATTGTCATTCTATCTCATAAATCATTGAAGATGATCCAGGTTCATATTTCAGTGTATATGGAATTGAATTAAACAAAGATCATATGGTACAAAATAGAGAAAATATTGTGTATACATTATAATGAAAATCACACAAACATGTATAAGTGCTTTTATATACCACTTTATGCCCCTGAATCCACTTCTTTCTGTTTGCAGTCCATCACTTGATGGAAATTAGATATGGCTTTAGTTGGTTTAGTTTCTTTTCTTCAATTCTTCATGAATATGGAATTATAAAATCTTAGGATTTCATAACATGTTTGTGCTGTCCACTAAAACAAAATATTATCAGACATCCATTATTATTATTACGTGATCAGACGTCCATGTTAATATAAATGATTAGACACGGTAACATATAAATCATTAGACATAGTAACTTCTTGTTAGTTTCAAGAATATATGGTTCTGGTTTTGATTCTAGTATTTCTTCTGATGCCTCACAACTAACATTTAACAACCGTTGTTCAGCACATTAATCTATTTCCAGAATCTTGCCACTCTGTCAGTTTTTTACTTTCTAGATAGGGTCACTGCTGTTGTTCAACTTGTAGTTCAGTTGTATGCCTGTTCTCTACCAGAAAAGAGAGGAAATTGAACGTCAAAAGTTGACCTTTTTCCTTTTTCCTCACTCTATCTACTAAGGGGAAAGTAAGAGGAATATAATGTATGGATATTGAGAATTCAAAATTAATTCCCTTCTCTACTAAAGATTCCAAATATCCTTAGTCACATTGAAAGCAACATGATCAAAATTGTCAATCAAAAACAACATAATAAAAGACTCACAGGTATGTTCATAAAAGACTTACATGTATGCTCTTCACAACCTCCCACATTAAGCTTTCAGTGGCTGTCAGATCAGGTTGTTGCAGCTTTTGTTCTACTTTTCCTTTCCTTATTTTGGCTGTTTTGATAGGCCAATTCATTCCCCGTAGAGTATCATGCGTGTTGCGTGATAGTAAGGTTATTATTCATTTATCCAGAAAAATTCAGAATTTCTAGACACTCAAGAAATCAGTCATCACATGGGTACTTTAAAACTCAAGAAAACCGTACACTCAAGGAGGAAAATAATTTCAAAAAACAACCAATTCTCAAGCACAATGCCTCTCAAAAGTCTAAAATGCATAATTAGCAAAAATTGCTCACCTGGTTGGGTATCTTGAACCTCAAAAACAAAATCCTAGAAACAGAACATGCAAGAAATCACAAAAAGGACAGGTCTCAAACACTTGTGCTCATCAAAATTTGTGAAATTCCTTCAAAGATAGCACATTGGTGACAAATTCACCAACTTGAAGCTGTTAAATCTCACATTTTTTGTAAACATCAGGAGAAGTGAATTGGAAAAAGAAGAGGTTAGGGCTTACCAGTGGGGCCTGAACCCTAAACTCTCTTTGAGAGCATTAGGGGACTGTCGCAGAACAGATTGGTCCATCTTAGAAACATCGAGAGAATCAAAATCGAAGCACGAAAAAGAAAAGAAAAAAAAAAAAAAGGATACTTAGGACAATGCTTGAAAATCAAAGAAACACTTTTATGTGCAAAAAGGGATACCATCTTCCAAACACATCAAAACAGGAAGGATCCTTGAAGGTAAGATATTGCTAATGTTTGAAGAACTCATGCTAAACTTTGAAAACCTCGCATTCAGATGAGGAAGATATTGTAGGCCCCACTGTCTCTGTGCTAGAAAGACTAATGAGCTGTTGTAGTGATCCCAAGTAAATACAATTCTTAAAGAGCAAAAAATAGAATGAAAAAAAAAATAGTACTAAAATATAAGAATAGAATCATTTCATCACACTTTCTTTTAAAATATTTTAAAAATGAATAAAGGAATTAAACAAAAAAAAAAAAAAATGTAACCTGAGCAAATATGGACTTAGCAGTTAAATCTTGAACGACATGATTTTGCTCCTTCAGAACAGAAAATAGACTGTTAACATGTTCAGGCTCACAACCAACAAAAAAAGGATCACCACAATCATTTACATCAGCCACTTTTCCTACTATTAACAACCATTTCTACTATGGAACAGTAATGCTTGCACTTACGGTTGAGGGTAGAGAAACCAGTCTATTCAAGCAAAAGAGAAAGCACACATCTTAGCAAGCATCTTGAATCAACAGAAGGAATCCTAGTAGTCTCTGTAAAACAGAAGGCATACAAAATATGAAGTAAAACAGGAAAAATAATTCAACTTAAATTTTAGCAGTTTATCCATTGAAAAATAAGCAAATTAGAAGATTACACTTTCAAGAAGAGATGTTATACTTCTACAATGTCTAAGTCCATTAAAAAGAGATAATCATATAACTTAATTTTTTATTTTAAAATTAAAGTAACAAAATTTACTTGATAAAATAAGTTATCTTCATGCAACACAGGCTCAGTACTTCAACCTCAGTATTTCTCACTTGAAGAAGAGGCAACATGCTGCTGCGTCATTTGCCCTTACCATTGAGAGATTAAGATCCACCACACAATTATTTACAACATTAGACCCCATATGAGAAATTAAAATGACATATTGACATATATGTTACCTGTATGTGTGGTTTTTCTTTGCAATGGCTTCTGAACAACACACTCAACAGCGGAGAAATCCCATGACTATAAATGTTTTTGCTGAACTCCAGCTTCTTTGCACCATTTGCTTGGCTTGATAAATGAATTGTTGTTTGCCAGTCATTTGATCTTGCATTATAGAATTTTCCAGGGAATCCAGTATCAAACCCACGCATAATCAAAATCCACCTCCCACAATCATTTCCCAAAAAACACATGGAAAATCATAAAGTGACTCGCTTTACTACAGAACCCCAAAAACCCTATATGTTTCTCTACAACATAGCAAGGCAGTGTAATCAAACTAAAACAAATGTGCATTTGCTAAAAGAAAAGGGATAGCGTATTGCCGAAATCTTGAATTTTAATCAGAGTAAGACACACACACACACACAAAAGGAGCAAAGATGAAAGTGACCATTTAACTCCAATTTCAGAGAAACAGATCAAATACTAATCATCCACTGCACTGCTAGCCAGACCAGCATCTGAATCTTCCAAACCTAATCATATAGTAGATGTAATTACATTGACCACAATCATGCTTAAAATAATAAAAGATCACTATATATGGAGCATCCAAGGTCATTAAAAAGATGAGAATAAATCACAAAGGAGAACCAAGCAGACTTCTAAAACTAAAAGTACCAGCCCTGTCATTTTTTATCAATCACAAAGAGCAATGTGAAATAACACACATGAGAAACTCCATGTAAGGCCATAAACACCTATTAGGTTTCATTCTTGGTCCAACAGAAAACTTTTTTCCTTTATTTATATGTTATTTTCTAGTCCAGGTTGTCAGTGCAAACATTCAATAATTTCCCACCGATTTCAATTAGACAACTGAAAATGAAAGACTGCCTCAATGGAACTGTGGTTAGCACATAGCAAATCATATAGTTCAGTTCTTAGCATCACCACTGATTTTGCATGAAAACCTCATTTAGCCAACAAAGCTTTGGTGAGCTAATAAAACACTCACTGGTTATTGCCAACTGGTATCATTTAGACAAACTGATAGGCAAAACAGTAATCAAGCACAGTCAATTTTGCATCCATTCCTCTCATCAAGGTCCAAATCTGTTATATATATATATATATATATAAAAGCTCACCAGCAGCGCATTTGTCAGTAACATGGGAAAAGGGTGGAGCAAGGAATCAGGGAAGCAAAGTGAGAGTGAGAATGATACCAAGGGCTATAAAAAAAGAAAGATGCAATAATTCAGAAACATAAATGAGAGGGAGTGGTTTGAGAAGGAAATGAAAAGAAAAATCAGATAGATTATAAAAAATATGGCACTTGAATTTCAGAGTGCATGTTTCTGCCTTTTTATCTTTAATTGTAATGGCCAATGTGAGTTCCAAAACATCTCTGCAGTTAAAGTCAATTTACAATTTTAGTAAATAGCATACTTTTAACAAAGTATCTAAACCAACATAAATGACATGTTAGGTAGAAACATTCTACCACTGGAGAGATGATTTTAGTTATCATCCTATCATTGGAATTTTCTTTTTATCTTTATCTATTTATTAACAGTAACATAGGTAAAATGAAGTAACTTCAATCTTCGATGTCAGTGCAATATTTAATCATTTGTCCACTATTATGGCACTGGAGCTAGTTTTGTGGACAGCAAGAGCAACCCAGAAACACTCACTTTAGTGATGTTGACATAAACACAATTAGAAAAGCATGCAGTTATTACCATGATCACACAACATAGAAAAACACAAGAAATTACGGGAAAATACCTCCTTTAAGAGGAAAATTCAAAGCAGAAGGCTATTAACTTTGGACAATTGAAATTTCAAAGGAAAATTAATCTTTGACTCAGAAGTTACGCAACAAAAAATACTCAACAAACTAACTGCCAAGAAGAATACCTACCATGCCTTAGCTATCCAAGAAGTGACGTTACCCACATACATTTCTCATGGAGACAACTCACCAAAACACAAAATGCATAAACCCACGAAAGCAAGGACACCCTTGAGGCAAAAAAAAGGGTAAAAAAGAGGAGAAACTCACTTGAAAAAGGGCACACAGAACCCTCTACCAAAATCTATTCTCTTTGCCAGCCTCCGCCACATACCCAAGTCACCCACTGCAACCGCAACGTCCCACGACTCCACCCTAATTCCTTAGTTGCCGTCGCAGATCTTCCTTCTCTCCTCCGATACACAATTTTCATCCCCTTTTGTCACCTGTTTCCTCTTCCCTCCTCTCCCTTGCTTTTCCTATCCCCACAGCTTGCCATCCCTCTCCATCCCATCTCGTCGAGTTCTTGCAAAAAAAATGCGGGGAAAACGGAGAGCTAACGTATGGTTGAGGAATAGGCTGGAAACAGGGCATGAAAAGTCTAGGAACATTATAGGAAGTTTCAAGATGATGTTGAAATCCCTAGAATTGACCAGTGAACAGTTTAAAGGGAGGGATTTTTTCGTCACTAAGCTAACAGACGCCGTTACTTTCTCTTGAATCACGGTTGAAATCGCCGGAAGGACGATGAATACTTGCAGGGATGAAGGGCAGAAACGGTATAACATGAGTGGGGCCCAGTGAATAGGCAAGCAACAGGTGAAGCCTTTAGTTAATTTGCGTGAAAAGTCAGCTTTGCCCATACAAAGAGGCCTGTTAAAAGGGCAAAAATGATAGAGTGAAAAGCTAAGCCCAAAATGCGCGAACAGTTTAGCCACAGTTTTGGACCTTTGGAAACAGAAAATGACATAAAACCCAGTGAAGTGGACACTGTTTACGGGCCTTTTTGGGAGTTAACAGGACTGGGCTTTTATATTTTTTGGTTGATATATATAGTAAAAA